CCCCCCCCCCCCCCAGCTGCTCTCCCCTCCTCTGGTCCTATTCGGCTCGGTTCGCCCACAGCCCCTCAGGCAAGGGCGGGCTACTGCCAAGGCGTTCGGGTGGACGCGCTGAGGAGGAAAGGGGGGGCCGGCCGGCCGGCGGGTGGGCGCACGGGCAGGCAAGCAGGCAGGCAGGCAGGCAGGGCTGGCTCAGGTGCTTGCTTGCGGCAGGCGCGGGAAGCCTCCAGTTGACCGTCCCGCTGCGCCACGGCGGCTCCCGCTGCCCAGGTAAGACCTTGGCTTTTTATTGTTATCCGGCCAGAGGAAAGCTTTGCCCCGTCGCGTTCCTTTAAACCCCTCCAAAGCCCTGCCCACTCCTCGGGAGAGCTGGGCGTTCGGGCGCCGGTCTGTGGGATGAAGAGGGAGGCTTTTTTTTCCGGTGGGGGAGCGAGGGGCATGCCCATAAAGGGTGTGCCCACGAAGTGTGTGTCTGTGTGTCTGTGTGTGTGTGCGCGCGCGGCAGGTTATTTATGCCGGGTGTTCGGGGAGGCGAAGCCAAAGCCTGCCCGAGGCCGAAGGTGTCACCGGACGAGGATGGAGAGAAGGGCAAGCCAACTTTCCTGCTGTGCCCGTCTCCTGGGCAAGCGGGATTTTGCCGTGGCAAGGAGCCAGTGTGACGCCAATGAGGAGATGCAACGCTTGGAGGGAGGGAGGAACGGGTCAGAGCTGTGACCGTCTCGGATCCAAGGTCGCTGTCCAGCCCCCACCCTTTCCCTTTCAGCTTCCCCCTGGCATCGGTACATGACCCCCTTCTCAATCCCAGATTATCAGAAGTTAAAGACCCAACACTTCTCATCCTTCAACCCACCCGTTTCCAGCAAACCCAATTGCATAACACGTTACTCCATTTTGCTCAGGCTCTGCTAAGAAACGGATTCCGGTTGTTCCAGGAAGATGGCAAGATTGTTATTACTGTTACAGTTGCTTGTTGGTTTGTAAAGACTAGCCTTTCCCTCTTTTTACTCAAAGGCATCCTTCCTCAGAAAACTGTGTAGATTTCCTGCAAAGAGGGACATCAAGGAGGATGAGGGAAACAAGATCCTTCTTAAGCTTGATGGGGTGGGGTGGGGGAACCCACATGCCACTTGGGTGACATTTGCAGAGAGATAATGTTCACACAAGCATTGCTAACTACTTGTTAATGTACAATGGCTGAATGCATGGGTGTGTTCACTGTGGAGAAGACCCAGTATGACGCTTACTTTGGAGTACTGTGAGCTGTGTTACATCTGCAGGGGAATGATCCAGGGAAGCAATCTAACTCTAAAAGCAAGTATATCCGTGTGAAAGGGCTTGTTAGTGAATGCATAGAAGAACCACTGTTTGACACGTTCTTAGCATATTGCCTTTGGTGGAAATTACTTCTTCCCTAGATGAGTTGATTCATTGACCAAATGTAATTGCAGAAGCTAGCATAGAAGAGCAGACTTTAGGAAGTGGGTCTAACGTTAGAGCTGGTGAAAAGACATAAAATGGGCTTTTCAAACTGTAGTCGCCTTCCAAAAGGATCCTTCATCATTGTTTGAATCTGAATCTAAAATATACAGGCAATGGGACATGTAATTCAACACAAACATTTGTTTTAAAAGTCTTCTTACATAAAACTAGCCTAGATTTGCACTAATTAAGCTGAGAAAGCCTAAGGAATGTAATTTTGTTTAATGTTTTGTGATAACATATAAGGGTTGGCCTTAATGTCATTAATAGTGTTCCTTATAGTGTTCCTTAAATCCATGTTAGCCTTGCTGTGCTGGTTTGCAAGCTAGCAACTATTTGCCTTCCAAAAGGCAGTTGGTTTTTGTCCTCCACACAATTTTTGTGCAAAATTTTGTATTTATGAAATCATTAATGCACTTATATTTGGATTGAATTGTACATTTGCTTTCCTGATGCCTTTATCTGAAATTCAAATTCTCTTTTTAAAATTGTCACTTATAATATATGTTACAGTTCATCTTGATTATAGTAGCACCTGCTGGCTGGAACAGAGAAATTACTCCCAGAATCTCCCACCACTGAGTTGTACTTAGCATGCATTAAAATAAAAGTGCAATATGTAAATGTAAGTTTCCCTGCCTTTGGTGCAAATTACTGTGATTGCTATTCATCATTCAAAAGCACTGGAGAATAAGGGTGGAAATACTATTTTATGTCCTTTTTTGCCTGTCATATATAATAAAGGGAAGAAAATCCGTGATTAGTAATGATGTATAAATAATGCTATCAATATTCTTTGCACTTAGTAGTATCTCTGGTTCATTTCCACGTTGGGCTCAACTAGACAGTGCATAGGCATTAATACCATAAATTAATAACCAACTTCTACAATTTTAATTTTTTTACATTTGTATTGATTTATAATATACTAAATAATATTAGGTAGTGTTGCTTTATAATTTATAGCATCATTTAGTAATTTATTCATTTGTAAGGTCACAACAGCATTTTCCACTGGGTTGAGTAGGGGATGTGTAGCTTCTGGTAGGCCTTTGCTGTTAGAAGGGAAAATTATATTTATGTACTGCATACCCCTTCCCTAACACATTCACATACATAGCAAAAGGCTATGTACAACTCTATGACTACTTCACTAGTGCAACCAAAAGGGAGCAATAGAATTAAAGAATTGTCTTCTTCCCTCCATTTTCCTTCCCTCTCCTTCCTATCAACACAGAACAACTTTCCCAGATGGTGCCCTCTGGATGTATTGGATTCCAATTCTTATCCTTCCCAGCCAAGATGGCCAGCTGTGGAATAATGAGAAGAGCAGTCCACAATGTCTTGAAAGCAGCATATGAGGGAAGGCTGTCAATGCAAGAGTGGGGTCTGATTAATGTGTTCTTAAGGTTAAGTGGCACAGCCTCCCTCTTATTGCCCACTACTTATAATTTGCTACAGAAATTATTTAAGGGTGGCTTTTCTGACCAAAGCATTGTAATTACTCTTTGGGTAATATTTGAGAGGCATCTCATATTGTGTTCTGTGGTAATAATATTCTGTGGGCAATAATATCCCCTATCTGGGATAGACTGTTTCAGACTAATCTTCCCTAAAACACATTCTTTTAAAATGGAACATAAGTCTAAGGCTGCAACTGAAGCTACAAACTTCAAAGGATATTTTGTGGTTTTAATTTAAATGTATCCCTTTCTTAGTACAGAAATGCATTTCTTACATTTCTGTGCTAAATAAATCAAGACTATATTATTGAATTACAGAACACGTGGCAACATTTTAAGCCATATATGGTTATAAATAACACTGGCAATAAAAATACAGTGATCATGGTTTGAACATGAATAGCTTGCATATAAAATTTCTGTTACAAAGGAGGAAGTTAGACTTTTATTATTAATGGGTTTGTGTTTGGTGTTGGTAGGGTTATTATTTTTTTAGCCACCCAGAGTAATGCTCTGCCACAATATGGGTAGGATAGAAATGTAATAAATGAACAAATATCAATCAATCAATCAATCAATCAAACAAACAAATAAACAAGCTTGTTTTTGTTTGATTATTTGATAATGTCTGAATTTCATATTGACTCAGCCAGACTAGCTTTTTCTCTAAGTTAGTGGCAATGCCAGTTGGTCAAGCAGCAGCGGCAAGTGTATGTATACAAATAGCTTCATCTGCAGCAATTTGGAGACAATAAACAATATATGAAAGCTTTACCTGTGAATAGGGTGGACACATAGAAAGGAGACACAGTTATGTGGAAGAAAGAATTTTGGTATGTGACATTTGTGGATTTTCCCATTACCACACAACTATTAAAGGTACGGAAGCATTGTCTTCTTTTCCATATGGCTGTGAACATGTTCATGTAACCTGTGAAACCTAATGGGATTAAATAGCTTCTCAAATACTGGGAAACTCAAGGACTAATCTTGTAGTGCTATGGATTCACTTGGGCACAAGCTTTTATTGACTATAGCTCACCTCATATTACCATGAATATTTAGGTTTTACCATACCATGTGGACAGTCAGTGTGGCATAGTCAATAGAGCAGTGTTCCCAACCTTGGGTCCCCAGATGTTCTTGGACGAAAACTTCCAGAAGCCTTTACCAATAGCTGTGCTTGTGCTTTCTGGAAGTTGTAGTTCAAGAACATTTGGGGATCCAAGGTTAGGAACCACTGCCATAGAGTGACGAATTAGGACTCAGGTGGCTTGAATTTGAATTTCTGCTAAGCCATGGAAATTAACTGTGGGTAACAAATGTAAAACCACTCCTTAAATACCTCACATTCTATGAAAACCCAATGAAAACTCTATTAGTCAGATGATATCTAACTACTGTATCTTATCATGAAACTCTATTCTGCACTAGATTAAAAGTGCTGCCTTGAGAAATGTATTAAAAGACTACCTGTAGAGACTAGTTGAATATACATGGCAGTGAGTGAAAATATCTTAATTTCTTTAGTGAAAGTTCATGATATTTCCTAACAACGGAGGGCTAATTATATAAAAGCACATGGCTGAAACAAGTACAGCTCTAATAGATATCAGATGGGGGCCACTTCAATTTGCATTACAGACTTTTTTTCAGCAGTAGGTAGTTGTTATCCTAAACTCATTTAATATCAGATAAGTTTTCCACTGAATTGACTTCAATTCTAAATAAACATATGCAGATAATTTTGAAGAGTAGGATGAATAAAGCTGGACATCTATATAGATTTAAAAGCTTTCCCTCATAACTGTCAAGCCCTATGTGGCTCTTTGTTTTAAAGTACTTGGGTTTTTTTTCCACATTTCTAGAATATGAACTTCCTCTTTCAAAGTTACTATTGCTATAAATATAGAACAGAACTAAAAAGAGAGCTCAAATTGCACTTCATTATAGCAGTAGGATAAAATACAAATTGAGTCTGATCAAAGTATGCCTCTTGAAATTGTAGTATTATTATGTATTTCTTAGATTCTTATATAGGCTTACAAGTATAAAGAAAGGTTTGTAGCCAAGACAGCCCTAGGTTTGTGATCCAGCACAGCTGTCCCAATTCCATCCATACTCTGTTGTTGTTAGGTGTTCTTTCAGATTTTTGCAAACAGCTGACTTGTGTCCTTAAGTGTGGTTGATCTATACAAACCTACATTGTGTTGGCATATTATTGAAGAATTCAAAGGAAATGATAAGCTCTATTCCTGGGCAGTTTTTTCTTATGAGGAATCTGGTTACAGAAGCCTCTCATATCCATGTATGCAGAATTTGCTATCT